ACTCACGGCAGAAGGTGGCATTCCTCCAGGGAAGAAGAGTCACACCGGCTGCCTGGCATGCATCCGCGTAGGCCTCCAGAGCAGCACACAGGACGTCCTGGCCACCACTCAGGGCACAAAGGTCATAGAAACAGGTCTCAAAGTAGCTCTGGGGGTTGATCACGGCATGGCACTTCTCAAAAGAGCCAGGCCTGGCAGTCAGCATGCCGCAGAACTGGTTCGATTGGTAGAGCTTCTCCTCTTCTGCACTGCAGGGTGGGGAGGGGACAGGGACACCGCAAGAGGCGTCGTCGTCTGGGACCTGCCAGCTCTCCCCCAGCGCATTGGAGTCTGCAGCTTGCTGCCCGTTGGGCATCATGTAGTCATCCTCTCTCCGGTTGTTGAAGTTCCCGCACATGCCACAGGTCATGTTGAAGTAGGTGGTGGGCACCTTCACCTCCACCGAGTGGTCAGCATCGTAGGACACTCTGAGGTTGAAGTCTGTCTCCAGGACGATGTAGCGGCCACTTCTGCTCACCGTGATGGCACCTCCCGCTGCGCTCACCGGCAAGGTCTGGCGCACATTGTTCACCTAGGGCAGACGCACCGCAATGGACCCTGCACTTGTCCCTGGCCTCCCTGGGGTCTCCTGCCCCAAGGAAATCAGGCCAGGCACGGCAAACCGGTGCCCGTGATGCCCTCACACCCAGATGCCCCCGTGGCTTGCAGAGCCATGTCTCTGTTCTGCACTCTGCAGGGGTCTCTGTTCAACACAGGCCACATTCCCCATTTGCCTCTTCCTGCCCTAACCCCACCAGAAAGGAGAACCAAAGCAACCCCGAGGCTTCAGGGGAACCCACCCAGGCCTGGGACAATGGAGACGGCTGGTACGTGCCAGGCCCTGCCAAGAAAAGCCAGCCCTGTCTTGCAGCCGCGCCACGCTCGTGCCAGCCCCGCTGCCTACCAGCACTTGGCTCTTCTCCTTCTTCACGATGGCAATGCGCTCTCCGTACACCTCCACCAGGACTTCGCGCACGTAGGACACTCTGGTGTTCCCACGGTGCTCGTTCTTGGCCTCAACATTGAAGTAGGGCAGGGAGGTGGTGTTGGAGCACACTTTGGCCAGGGTGTAGGTGCAGTTGCCCATGAAGTTGTGCGTCACTTTGTCAAAGGTGTTGTAGTGAGGGTCACCGTGGACGTGGCAGATGCCGAAGGATTGTTCAAGGCACTCGGGTTTCCCGTTCTGCACCCCACAGTACTGGCCTGCAGGGCACGAGGCACTGGAGCACTGGACTTTGCTTCCGCGCGCAGGACACTTGCACTTGGAGGAGCAGGTGTTGTCCGTCCAGAACTCCGAGCCCACGGGGTAGTGCTGTCCATTGTGCCAGCACCCGCACTGCTGGCTGGGCACGCATTGGTCGTTGTAGAGCAGGTACCCGCTGTCGCACACGCAGCCCTCCACGCACGGCAGGCTGCAGGTAGCAGGAGCCATTGGGTCAACACAGGTGGCAGGGCAGGCTGCAGCACAGGGCTCGTAGTGACTGT